CGAAATAAAAGGAAAACAAGAGAATCGATATCTAAACCTTTACACCCCATTACCCTCGAAGTTTTGTGGCCAAAACCATTTATTAATGTTCGGTAGTTCATGAGGTGCTATTTGAGACGATACATTATTCACATCCACAAATATTACACAGTGAAAGAGAGAGAGAGAGGGTGGGTGCAGGCACTTGCCTTGATAGGAAGGGACTGAAACATAGCAGAACACTCACTCCTTGCTTTGCCTAGCGAATCCAGATCACACCCTTCCTTTCCCCCCCTTTCCTAACTATGCCCAGGTTGTTTGAACGTGGGCAAACTTTCAGGGCAAGAAGGGCAAGATCTCTCCAAACCAGGTCCGGCGAGGCGACATCGCTTTTATTGTTGGGTAATAATAGTAATAATAGTAACATACAACAGTAACATTTCTGCAAAAGACGAGCAGCTCCTCCCAACGATTGAGCTCTAATATCTTGTAGGTAAGCTGCGGTGTACTCCAAGGGTCATTCCTTGGTTCCCTTTTCTTCCTCTTAGATATCATTGATTTGATATATAAGAATATAATCGTATTTCTAATTGGTTATTTGCTCACAAACCGACTCCTAACATTTGGAAAATTAACTTCATATATGTATCTTCTGCCAATTCATTTTGAACAGAATGTAGGAAGCCTCCAGATCTTGATATAACCGTAGAGCAACAATTACTGAGGGACAGTTATACCAATTTCGTCAGGGCAAAAATTACGAAGTAATGTGGAATAATGACCCTCAGGCTACGACTCTCTTGACCTGCGATTTGTTTATGCTGCTCTATTACGGACTTATACATCCTTCCATTTCCTACTTCCCAGCATTTTGGATGGGGTTGCTAATGGAACTCTAAAACCATACGGAAAAGAGTGGTAAGAATCATAAGTGGCTTACGAGCCCACGACAATAGCGGCAATGCATTCTGATCGTTAGGGATATTAAGAGTAGATGACATTAATATTCTCTGCACCTTGTTTCGTGATCAAATCATCAAATGGTCATCTAGATGACATTGAATATTATAATATCACAGTGACCAGTATCTCGTAACCAATGGGTGTTTTGCTTTCGACACGAATTATCTTCATATACCCAAAGGCCTATCAGGTACGGAGGTTTGGTCACTCAAAACAGCATTCCCATACATGTAAAAAGTAAACAAAAATTGTCGAATTTTAAATCAGCATAAAAAATACGGCATATACGATACAACTTTTCATCATTAGGTATTAATATACCATCCAATTTATCCTGTTATATTGATTGCCCGTGTGTCTTTTTTTTTTTTTTTTTTTGATGTAGATGTACCTGGTTTATGTACATTTTATGGTTTTGATTAGATTTTTATTGTCCTGTTTTATTCCTTTCAGTATGGTTCTGTATTTTTTCTGATATATTGTATTTGATTTGATGAATGATTTTAAATTCATTGTCTTTATATAGTTATTCTTCTACTGATTGGAGTCGTAACTAAATGATTTACCATGCCGGCTATATATATACTGATGGTATTTTCATGTCACCTCATAGCCCACTGATGCTGGAACCCCCAGTGAAATGTTGCAGAGAGTTCTTAGGGGAACTGTCCATTTGTGCCAACATATATCCTGTAGACGAGCTAGTATTCTCTCTGTGTTTCAGAGACCTGGACGCTCACAAAGACTTAAGGCGAACAGAATAGATGGCTTTGATAACAGAGCCCTGAGAGCTTTTGAGGGTATTAAATGGTTCCATCACGTCACCAAAGAGACCTTTAGAGCAGGAACCAAGCAAGCCCCTGCCTCCAGCCTTGCGGTAATGCACAGGATCCGGTGGTTGGGCCACGTGCTACGTCTCCTACCTGAACACCCAACCCGGACCGAACTAAACTTCGATCCCCGAGAAACCGAGAGGAGGCGGCCCGAGGACCCTCCCGCACCCGCTGCCTCGACTTCGTTAAAGAAGACCCTTGGCCAAGCACCTTGCATGGGACAGGCCTGGATGGAGAAGAGTGGGCTGCCTGTTTGGCTCTACACGCTTACAAGCGCAAGAGGAATAATAAATGTATGGACAAAATCTCATTTTGTGTTTTGCCTTCTTGAATTATTACCAGTCTTACTTTTTGGGGGCGTTTTCATATTTTTTGTTTTTTCTTCCATGAAATTTATTGCTTTTAAGCCCTGATTATTGATGAACATTATATATATATATATATATATATATATATATATATATATATATATATACATACACACGCACACACACACACACACACACACACACACACACACACACACACACACACACACATATATATATATATATATATATTATATATATATATATATATAATATATATTGTCTTACAATAAGGCCTCTTTATACACGTGTGTCTCTTAAGACCACATTGTGTTTAAATATCTCAAATTTTAGACCGACCAGCGCTCATTCGCTTCTCTCCTCAGAGATATTGTGCACTCCTTCCTCAAACTATGAATTAAAAACAGTGAATGTGAATCTAGTCCGGGAGCCCAGAGACATTTGTTTCACATCTCGAGTACAAAAGGTTTGAGGCCTGGAATATATGCATCTATGATAGGAGACCCCAAAAAGTACATCTTTCAAACTTGTCTTAAAATGTTCTCTGCATGAGTGGAAATCAGATTTCCCTATTCTTGAGTTTTCAATTTGTTTATTAGGTCGCTTAAGAACGATCTAATTTACGCTAATTTGAGTACATCTTTCAAATTGGTCTCAAACTGTTCAATAAATCATCGTGAATCAAGCCAGCCATCCATCTCATGCATCAATCCACTTAAGAATGCAGTCAGTATCTAGAGGCAGTCGTCGGTTTATCATTGAACCTATGAGGAATCTCCAGCTCTTTCCCTCCATAGATTCTCAGAATAGGCTGCAGAATGTCTGGTGTTGCCCGCAATGCCTATAGATTTTTGTCGTTTTCATGTTCCATTTAAGATCACTGCTTGAATTCCAATGGGAAGAATCTGAAAGAATCCGAGGGAATTCTCGTGACATAAAAAAAGGAAATTTAAGCGTTTCAAATATTTTCAATTCAAATGAAACAATATGTTTCATTTGTTTGTCACATACGTATTTTCACACATACATATCCATATGCATACACGTCTGATCATTGCTTTATCTGCTTATTTTTTCTTACCACACACACACACACAGATATATGTATGCATATATATATGTGTGTGTGTTCCAAGATTTTAGATTGAATTGTTGATCGGCGCTAGAGCCAGAACGCCAATTTATTACATGACTTACTATGTATGATCTGATTTTGAAACATAATTCATGCATACTAAGTACATTTTTGTGTAGTTTATATATAAAAAAAACCATTGTGTTTGTATACAATCTATGATTGTCATTTTTGTGTGTGGATAGTAATGGTACATTCCCAAAGGTGGATCTCAAAGAGGACTGATGCATGAAATGGACACAAGAATTGCTGTTCTTGATTCACGATTATCTATTGAACAGTTTTAGACCAATTTGAAAGGTATACTCAAATTGTGAATTGCAATTAGTATATTTTGCTTTCTTAGGTGGGTTAATACATGAAATGGATATTTAAGAATTACTGATCTTGATTTAGGGTGATCTAAGGATGTACTCAAATTGTGAATAAAAAATGCCACTTAGCCTTCATTAGGTCGTTCTTAAGCAACCTAATACACAAATTGAAAAAAGGATAGGGAATTCTGATTGTCACTCATACAGAAAACATTTTAAGACAAGTTTGAAAGGTGTACTCGAATTGTGAATTAAGAATAAACTTTAGGGGGTCTTTAGTCGCGCCCCCTGATTGCTGTGCAGAATTACAGAACTTAGGAATTGCCTTTTGGGGGTCTCCTATCATAGATGCATACATTCCAGGCCTCAAACCTTTTGTACTCGAGAAGTAAAACAAATGCCTCTGCGCTCCCGGACTAATCTAAACACAACTAAACACACACAATTTAGACACACATACTCATAATGTATGTATGTATATACATACATACATACATACATATATATATATATATATATATATATATATATATATATATATATATATATATATATATATATATATATATTATATATATATATATATATATATATATATATATATATATATATATATATATATATATATATATATATATATATGTGTGTGTGTGTGTGTGTGTGTGTGTGTGTGTGTGTGTGTGTGTGTGTGTGTGTGTACACATTTAGTAAAAGCAAATGTATATATATTATATAATATATATATATATATATATATATATATATATATATATATATATATATATATATATATATATATATATATGTGTGTGTGTGTGTGTGTGTGTGTGTGTGTGTGTGTGTGTGTGTGTGTGTGTGCGTGTGTGTGCACACATATGGTTTGCTTTTACTAATTTTGCTACCAATGATGATAAAAAATAACAGCGATGGGGCTACAATGATAAAGAAATGCCAGCATGCATCACTCTTTTAATTATGTACAGCAGTATAAGACAGACATTTTTTGACCTCCGCCTCCAGGCGACGCTCACTTCCCATAGCCTCCTCCTCCTCCCCCGCCGCCCCCGTGACCACCTCCTCCTCCGAGGCTGAAGCTGCCACTCGAGACTCCACCAGCGCCGCCGTGTCCACCTCCTCCTCCTCCTGCACGACGCCACCGCCTCCATATCCGCCGCCTCCGCCTCCAAGGCTGAAGCTGCTACTCGAGGAACCGCCTGAACCTCCGAAACCGCCGCCTCCAGATCCTCCTCCGTATCCACCCGCCGCCGCCGCCTCCATGGCCACCTCCACCTCCTCCTCCAAGGCTGAAGCTGCTACTCGAGGAGCCGCCAACGCCTCCGTGTCCACCTCCTCCTCCGTGCACGGCGCCGCCGCCTCCATATCCGCCGCCTCCACCTCCTCCTCCAAGGCTGAAGCTGCTACTCGAGGAACCGCCAGACCCTCCGAAGCCGCCGCCTCCCTCCACCTCCACCTCCATAGCCCCCGCCTCCGCCACCTCCACCGCCTCCATGTCCTCCGCCTACGCTGGGGGCTCCGAGGCTGAAGCTATGACTCGACGTCCCTCTCCACCACCGCCTCCGCCGTGGCCTCCACCGCCTCCGCCGTGGCCTCCACCGCCTCCTCCTCCTCCTCCAAATCCTCCACCTCCATAGCCGCCGCCGCCACCTCCTCCTCCAAGGCTGAAGCTATGGCTCGACGTCCCTCCAGAGCCGCCGCCTCCGTAGCCACCCCCTCCCCCGCCCCTCCAGCCGCGCTCAGGACGACCAGCGAAGCCAAGCTCAGCAGCGTCAACTTCCCCTGGAAGGAGGGCGACGAGAGCGTCAGAGGCATAAGGAGGATAACAACGATACAGAATTACGAAAATGCCGCTGATGGTGAGGATGGATAACGAAAATGCACGCAAGCAATTTGATGCACTTTCAGAAATCTAAATAATAGTAATATGAAACGAAAGGTATCAGACACTGTAAAGCAATCTGTTAGTAGATTATGAAATTATCTTCTCGCATTTCTGATAAACTTTCCGCGTAGTGTACTTGTTCTGTTTTGGTAATACTGATAATGATCATGATTGCTGAACTAATGACAGTGATAGTAGAATGATGATTTTTTATAATAATAACGAACGGTGAGGGAGCGTGTGTCTATATATGCGATTTAAAAACATGGAAAGCAAAAAGGTAACTCCATTTAGTGCCGAGACCGCCTCCCCGAGACCCACCATGATGCTTCGGATCCTGCGACCGAGCTCCTCCGGTCGCTTCTGTCGGACGAAAGGATTCGCTCACGCATTTATACTTCCTTGGCTGAGGTTGCAAGAATGATATTGTTTCCAAATGACTGTCAAATAGATACAATTTCCTTGGTGAAAATATTTAGGCAGGATTAAAGCAGAAATGATTAGACATTCACGGTGATAAGTGTGCTACATGAAATTGTCTTTCTAAAATAAGAACTGTATGATGGTTAGCATCGACACATTTGTAAAAATAAAGTGTAGCCACATGGCGGACATAATAAGCGTAATTACTTTTTAAATCAGATATCGAGTATTTATGGTATATATTTTGGTGCAAATGAGTGTGTATGCATGCGTGTGTGAATGTGTGTGCGTATGATTGAGTGAGTGTGAGTGTGTGTGTGTCTTTGAGTGAAAATATATGAATATATACATAAATACACATACACATATATGTGTGTGTGTTTATGCAAAAACATGCATACATATAGATAGAGATAGATTAGGTATATATGAGGGCGTGTTTACATATGGAAATTCTACTACTACAGGTGAGCATTTCCTGTATATAATTGAAAGAGAGGGGGGAGGGGGGCACTAGAAACAGAAACGTGATTTGCTGCGCAAACCTCGAAAAGCTTTTAATAAGGCTCATTAGTATTCTGTGTTATGTATCCTCTGACTAGCAATGTCATTTTTAACATTTACGAAAAATAGTTAGCTTATAAGAAGAAAATATCTTGTGTAAGGCTTATGAAAAAAGTTTGTAGATCACATAAATATATTGTTTATAATCAAGTACATTACCCAAAAGGCAATGACTATCACACGAACATGCACCACAAAGGTATGATTATTTATATTAGATTGAAGGATCTTTCATCAAAGAAACATATTGAAAGCCCAATAGTTGAGAATTACCGATAAAAAGTCAGGTTAAGTGACTTACCAGCTTGTTTAATAGATTATATGACATCAGTATGACAAATATGGTAAGATAAATTAATGTACTTGATCACATAAATGACGTCGTTGAAGATGACCAACAGGTCGTAGATATCGATTTAATGACATAATTCTAACGGGATCTCTCCTGCAGATATTGACGTCACTGACATAAAGAAGGGTAGCGACGCGGCTTCCACCCCCCCGGTAAAGAAAACGTTTTTCTGGCTTCAACTTTGACGATGATGATGTGTCGGTGAATGAATCATATTTCATGTCAACAAATATATACATTGTGATTTATCATTAGGATTTATTCGACTTGAAATTTGATTGGTATACATTTAAATGTTATCAGGGATGCCATTAGTAAGAAATGGGCGTTTTCCCTATCAAGGTTTTAGAATAAATAAATAATGCAAATATGCTAGTTATATTATTATCATTGCCATTATTGCTGTCATTATTAATATTTTCATTATTAGTTGACGTCTCATCAATATCATGATTGTTATGTTTACTAGCATTACTATAATTTTTGCTACTATTATCATTATTATTATTATTACCATTATCATAATTACCATTACCATTATTACCATCATTTTTATTATTGTTACTATTATTATTGTTATCATTATTATTATTATCATTATAATTTATATTGTTATTACTATCTTTATTATTATCATGATTATTACTGGTATTATCATAATTATTATCACTATTATCATTATTATCAGTATTGGTATTCTTATCATTG